GCGCGCCCGCCTTGCGCGCGGCGGTCGCAGCTTGGCGGAAGGCGTCGGCGTGGGCTCCTGGCCGCTGCGGCCCCGGCCTGCCTCTGGGCAAAGCTGGCCACGCCTCTGTGCCTCCGCGGGCGGCGCCCGCAGGGGGGGGCGCAGCAGCCGGTGCCCCAGCGCGAGGGGCCGCGCACCTGCGGCAGGTGGCGTGGTCCTCGAAGTTGTGCGTGCCGCAGGCGCACTGCCACTCGGCCCGGCGGGGAGGCCGAGGGGCACGCCTGTCTTGTCCTTGTTCCCCGCCTCCTTCCCCTCCCGTGAACAGCGACCAGAGCACCTCGAACGCCAGCTCCAGGTCGCTCCGCGTCCGGCGAGGTTGGCGGCGCCGCCGCTGCACCACCTGCCGTGCACCTGCCGTGCCATGGAGTCGACTCTGCTGAATAAGGGATGGGGAAAATAAGCGGCGGATGCCAGAAGGGGGCTGCCAAGGTCGGAGAATTTTCGACCTCGACGCTCGATGCTGCTGCTGCTGCTGCTGCTGCTGCTGCTGCTGCTGCTGCTGCTCCTCCTCCTCCTCCTCCTCCTCCTCCTCCTCCTCCTCCTCCTTCTCCTGCTTGGCCTTTTGGCGCAAGGGCTTGGGCCGGATCGGCCCGCTCCGCGCGCCTGGCCTCAGAGTGCCCGCCGACCCGCCTCAGGCTGCCCAGTACACCATGCCTTGCTCCCGTTGCTCGGGCCTGGGCTGCTGCGGCTTGGGCCTGGCCTGTGCCACCGCCGGGCACGGTGGCTGCGCCGCCAGCGCCGGCGGGCGCGGCAGCGCCGACTGCAGCACGGCTTGCTGCCAAGAGGCCGCCTTCGCCATGGGCTGCGGCCCCGCCTGCGGCGGCGGGCACGCCGAGGGGGCGGGGAGCGGCAGCATCGCGGGCGGCGGCGCGATTCTGAGCTACAGGTGGGCCGGCGCCGCAGGCGATTGCGCGCAGGAGACGTCTTGTGCGGGTGCGTGAGGGGCGGGCGCGGGCAAGTCCGGGGTGCTCCTCATTCCTGGCCGCGGCCCCGATTGCTGCCTGTTCTTCGGCCCGGGGCTGCTGACCCTGCTGCTGCTCGCGCTGCTCCTGTACTTGCTCGCCGCGGGGAGCACCGCGACCACGGCGACGACCACCGCGCTGTTTGCTGCCCCGACAATTTGACGACGCCATCCGACACGACCGCGCAGGCCACCACGACCAAGAGGATGACGCAGACGCCTCCCCCGCCGCCTCCGCCGCCCTCGCCACCCGCGCCGGCGCTTCCGCTCCTGCCCCCACCGCCGCTTCCCACGTTTCCGCTGGCACTCCTGGCCAGCACTGATCGCGCTGAACTCCCGATCGTTGGGGCCAGACCGTCCTCCCCAGGACTCCGGCCTAGCTCCGATTGCGGCGGATTTGTGGGCTCGCCTGCCGAGCAGCAGGCTTTTCGATCTGCCACATGACGCAACAGGAAAGGACCGATGCGAACTCCTACCTTTGCCACCTCCGCTACCGACTGCGGCGAAGGTTCCTTGGCGTCCTGGGACGAGGCGACGAAGGTGCATTGCAAGGGGTACCCGACCATGTCCACGGGCCTGGCACAGAGGCGCCGCAAGCTGCCTGGAGGCTACCCTTTGGGAGCGCCAGCTCGCCAACGCACTCGCGCGGCTGCAGCGCCTGGACTACCTGCGGCTGCGTGGTGCTCGCAGCGAGGCAGAGGAAGGGCGGCTCGAGCGGTGCCTCGAGCAGGCTGGGGCGTCGCCCCTGGCCAGGAGCCAGGCTCGAGGGCACGCTGCGCGCTCGAAGCAGCGCCGGGCCCGGGAGCAGAGGCTCGCGAGGTGGCAGGGGAGCCTCTGGACGTGCCGCTGGAAGGCCACGGCTGGCTGCGGGGGCGCGTTCTGCTAGATCGGCGTCACCCCAACGTACTAATACGGTGTGTGCGTCGCCCCCCCAGGGCCCAAGGGGCGACGCGCGCGCAGAGAAATCTTTCTGGCCACGCCGCTGGGGAAAACGCTACGCTACAAGATGGGTGTGCTATATGCTCGGGTCGGACGCGCGCCCCCAAGGAAACGTCTAGCATTCGCATGTCTCTGTGCGTCCCACTGGACGCCACGATTTCCGAGAAGCACAGGGAGGAGGCGCCAGCGCGACCCATGCCAGAGTCGCTCGGCTTGCTGAGCCACCGCTGGCGCGAGGTTTTGGGGCGGGGAGCTGCCTCCCGAAGCGGCCTGGCGCGGCAGAGGCTCGGAGTGGGGCCCGCGGCTGGGGGAGGCGTGGGCGCCGCTCGACATGGAAGGGGTGTGGGGGTCCCAGACATTTTGAGGAAGCAACGCGGGCCCTGCCGGGTGGACCTGGCGATGAGGTGGCAGACGAGGTAGGCCCTCGCCACGGAGGCAATCGCAGAGTTCTTTAATCTCTGCGAGGAAGTTGTCACCTTCTTTCGGTTTGGCAGAAGGTGCGCCAGGCGCATGTGGCCAAGGGCCGTAGGAGGAGTGCGCTAAGGGCAAAGCGTTGCCAGTCGAGGCTGTTCACCCCATCTCAGTGATCAGCTGCTGGTACCGGCTGTGGGCAGGAAGCCGCCTCCACAACGCGGCGAGCAGGAGTTGGCAGCGGCGGTGGTGGCCCCAACGCGCCTTCGATGCCAGGCGAGACGCTTCGGTGCACGATGCTGTCCAAGGCATCGCTGTCGCTATGGAACAGGGCGACCACGCAGCGTCCTGGGTTTTTCACGGTGTTTCGATGCAGTGTGCTGCCTTCGTGTGCCGTGGCGGCGCTGCAGCCGAAGGGCATGCAGAACGCTACCTGGGCGATGCTTGCTCAGCAATGGGAATCCAAGACCGCTGCGTGCAGTTTGTTGGAACCACGCGCTCGGAGGTGCAGGCTGTGAGCATCCCCTTCCTCCAGAGGGATCCGTGGATTCCGTTGGCGTTGACCCGCCTGCAGGCCGGGCTGCCGAGGGAACTGGAGGACCAGGTGCCCGGCGTCGCCGCCACCGTCTTCGTCAACGACAGGACGTGGACAGCGCCTGGATGGCCTCCTGGCCGCAGCGTAGCTCTGGCGACCCTGGAGCGTAACCTTGGGGCTCACGGGAAGCGCCTCGAAGGAGCATTGGAACCGCCCGGATTCTGCCAGCCGCCGTCGGGTGAAGAGGCATGTCCAGCCAGACGCCGTGGTGGACAGGCGGAAGATGTTGGGCATCAAGATCACGCGGGTAAGAGGGAGGAAGAAGTTTCGAAAGGAGGCAGCGCGGCCTGGCAAAGACTCCCGGGACATTTCGCAAGCAGCTCCCCTGCCGGTTCTACCACGGGACAGGAAGCAGGTGGCGCAAACCTGGCTGCCCCCCGCGGCGCAATACGGCTGGGTGCGCGACGCGCCGAACATCCAGATCACCACCCAGAGTAGGGGCCGTGGGCGTAACGCAATCGACTTGCCGATCCACGCGCCGCGGCCTGCAAAGCTGATTTGTGTGAGACATGGATCAGACGTGCGGTGCGCGTGTGGTGTTGCTCGCGCCAGAACGAAGGGCTTTGCTGGGAGCGACCCCGCATGGGAGCTGCCCTTGACGGCAGGCAAGGGCTGGTCAGGCGTCCTCGCAAGACATTTAGCATGGACAGGCTCGCAGTGCTCAGACGAGTGGGTGTGGCGCCACGCAGGCATCGATGCAACAATCACGCTCCGCCGCGACCGCCCTGAGTGGCGCGTGCCAGGCCATCTGTCGCACCTTCTCCGACTGGCCTGGGGCTTCTTCAAAATCCAGGAGCTCATGAAGGGTTCTACGTTTGCGTGTGATGACGTTCGGTGCGGACCGTGCAGGTACAATCGCATGCTCCAGATAGCCGAAGAGACGCCTGTCGCTGTCTCTGTCGGCGCGGTGGTCAGCCCGGCGTGCAACCGCAGGGCGACCTCATCCTCGGACGGTGTCCTTGGTGTGCTCGTGAGAAGGGCTCGTGTGATCACGTGGCTTGGGGCTGCGGAAGCAAATATTTTCGGCACTGGCCGCGGTGCCAGCCCATCGATGGATGGCTTGCAGCGCCAGTTCTTGTGGCTGACGGTGCAGGGAGGAAGGGCAGAGATCGACTGGCAGCTCGTGGAGAGGGCTGTCTTTGTGGACCGGGTCATCAGGGACCGCTGGTGCGACGACGACGGGCGCGCGGGGCGGCCCGCCCTCGAGGTTGTCCACGAAGGGCGGGCGGCCCAGGCCGCGACGGAGCAGCGTCATCTCGTCGGGGCTGTTCCGATGTCAACGGGCGCGCCCCATCGCTTGCGGCGCGGGGTGCGACTGCGTCGGTGCGCTGCAGTGGGTGCGCGGCTGGTCTGGTGAGGGAGAGCTCTACGGCTGCAAGACGGCCGAGCGGGGCTGCCACTCGGAGCTACCGCCCCTCTCTCGGGACCGTCGCCCTCGGGCGAGCTCCCTGCCCCAGACGGCAACGTGTGCGACCGCGCTGGGTACCATCATTGCGCGCACTGCCTGGAGCTGTCATGAATCCCCAGAAGACCAGTTGTTGCTGCAAGATCTTCCACGAGAGCTGCAAACGCGAGGAGCCAGCGCAGGTCGAACCTTGAGGGCGGGCTGCGCCAACGTGGGGAGGGACAGCGGGGAGTGGATGGGGAGCAGGGCAATGAAGGGTTGCACAGCGGGCAGCGCCGCAGGGCAAAGTTACGTGCGCCCGCTGCGCCCATCAGAGTGGATGGAAACACCTTCCCTCGTTTAGGGTGGCCCTGCTATCGAAGACCCATGCCACATTGGGCAGGATACGGACCGCAGAGGGTACGGTCCATGCGTGTGCGTAGTACGATTTGGTCTGGCATCGAAGCGCAGGCAATTGTGGATTCCTTCTCCCCCTTCTCCTGTCTTCCCCCCTCCTCCTCCTCCTCCTCCTCCTCCTCCTCCTCCTCCTCCTCCTCCTCCTCCTCCTCCTCCTTCCCTCCTCCTTCTCCTCCTCCTCCTTCCCTCCTCCTTCTCTTCCTCCTCCTCCTCCTCCTCCTCCTCCTCCTCCTCCTCCTCCTCCTCCATGGCGATGGCTCAGGCCGCCCGGCAGCTCCGCGACCCCCGAGGCTCCGGCGCAGAAGCGGTGGATCCCTCGGACCCTGTCCAGGCGCAAGGCAGGCAGGGCCCGGCGGCGCGCATGCCGTGACGGCGGCCCCCGGGCGCGCGCGCGTCGACACTCCTCAGACCCCCTGATGTCGTGACTTCTTTACAACGTCGACCCCCAGAGGTCTGGACCCCTTCCCCGGGACCGGTCTTGCATCCCGAAGCGCTTTCTGACGGGCCCGAGGCCTGGCGTACAGAGGCCCTCGGAGGCCGAAGAACAGCGGCCAGCACTCCTGCCGTGATTTTTTCCTCCAGCGCGAGGGGGTCTGGGCTCGGAGCGGGCGGCGAGATGGAGCCGCGGCAGGAGCAGGCCTGGCACCGACGGCCCCGCGCAGGTCGTGGCGAACGAAAGGGGGGGACAGGGAAGGAGGGGGGGCACGAACTCTGCTGCATGCAGCTGGTCTCGGCCCCACCGAGGGGCCCCTTCCTCGATACCTGGTCGTCCCCGGCGCCGGGAGGCGTCGGGAAAATCAGCTGCGGGAGCTGATTCTCACCCCCCCCCTTTGCTGCAGTCGGGGCGCTGAGGAAGGAACCCTTTCCGTTCGGGAGGGGCTCCGTGCTCCTCCGTTGGTGCGCAGTCTCCCTTGGGTTCCCCTCTTTGGTCCTCGATGGGGCATCGAAGCTTCCCTTCTGGGAAAAAAAAGGGGCCTCGCCCCTGAGGCCGAGGCCCCAGCTGCATCCCCTCCCCCTGTGGGCCCGGCCCGGGCAGGCCCCGCGCTCCTCGGCGCGCTGGCCTCCCTCGCCGCGGTGGCCGCGGCGGCCGCGCTGCGCTGGGGCCCTGCCGCGGGCGGCGCGTGGCTCTCCGGCGGCCGGGGCCCGGCGGCGCGGGCGCCGCGGGCGCCCGACGGGCGCGGTCTGCTGAGGAGATTCGGTCTGTAGGCTGAGGTCGGGCCTGTCCCCCTACAGGGGGGGATCCTCGAGAGAAAGAAGCAAATACCCCAAAAGGGTCAGAGATATTCGAAAAATAGTATCCGTATCATGTTTGGACGGAAAAGTCTATAGGCTGAGGTCGGGCCTGTCCCCCCACAGGGGGGCTTTCGATGGAAAAAACAAATACCCCAAACATGCCCCAAAAAGGTCAAACATATTCGAAAAATAGTCCCCAGACTATTTCTGGACTATTTTGGGATTATGTTGGGGGTATTTTCTATGTTTCGCCGAAAATCCCCCTGTAGGGGGACTGGCCCGACTTAAGTCTAGGCCTCCCAGATGGGGTCGGAGCAGATGGGGTCGGGGGATCGCGCCGCATCGCCGATGCATCCACGATGCGGCTCGATGTGGGGCACGACTTTCTCCACGCCGACGTCGCCGATGCATCGCCGACGTCGCCGATGCATCGCCGGCGTCGCCGGCCCCATCTAGGAGGCCTCTATTCGGGGGGACGTTAAACGTCGGGAATCCCACTGCAGGAGGAGCATTCCAAAAGAGTCCAACAGAATAGTCAGGGGAGGATGTTTCTTACTATTTTTGATTATGTTGGAGTATCTCTGGACTTTTTTTAAGGTTTCGTCCAAGATCCGCCTGGAGGTGGACATGCCCGACCTCAGGGAAACGTGAGATTCGAGTACGCCGGAACTCGGGTTAACAGACGCTTTTCGGCGAGCGCGTCCCGAATTGTGGCGGTCCAGTTTTCGTGGGGTGTTTGCAGCGGGAGCTCGCGTCCAATTTCAGACTGGGCCTCGTCATTATCATGATGTGCCCCGCGTCAGGCCAACCCGAGTCCCCGTCTTGCGTCTCCCCGAGAGATGGCTGGCTTCCCCGCAGCCAGAATGCGTCCGTACGGGCAGGGTCGTGTCGCGGCAGTGCGGAGGGAGGCCACGAAGCAGTGTGAGGGGTGACGGAGCCATGGGCGGGGCGACCGCGCAGTCTTTTAGGGGCCGCGGCACGTGTATGAGGGGCGTGCCGATTCGGCAGGACGGCGGCGGGCGAACCTTGCCTCGGGGGCCACTGGTGGACCTCCCTTTGGGACCACGCCCCTTGTGAGGGGTGTGCCGGGCCGGGAGGGACGGCGGCAGGGTTCGGCTAGACGTAAGAGTGACCTTCCGCCAGAGTGGCCTTTGGTGCGGGTTCAAATGGGCCCCCGGATCGCCGAACGCGCTGCGACACCAGCGGCTTGCGCGCTTGGGTTTGGCCCCCCCCCGCGCTCCCCTGATGCCGCACACCAGCGGTCACTCTTGCCCAGGGTCGCTCTCGCGTGCAGCCGAAGGGTCCCGACCCCGCCGCGGGAGTTCAAGGTGGAACGCTGCCCGCGGCCCAGAGTCGGCCAGTAGGGAACGATCTGGCGATCGAGGAGCCGCCGCTCGTGCAAGACCGAACGATCCCAGCGGTGTCAGCAGCCAACGCGGGAGTCGTCACGGCACGAGCCTGCCGTACCCCGCCATGCCTGGCCAGCGCCACCCCAGGCCCCAGGAGGGTGTCCGGACCCTCCTGGCCTCGGCCAGGAGGGCACGCACGGTGCCGAGGCCCAGGGCAGGTCCTGCCAGGCGCGGCGGTGGCCGGTGCAGTGCGGGTGCCCTCGCGCAAGGATGGCGGGCGAGACTTCCGATGGCGCGCCCAACAGCACCGCGCGGTACAGGAGCGCCGCCGAGCTCTGTAGCGCGGCGGCGCCCATCCCCGAGGTGGCCCCGCGGGCGTGGCGGCTCGGCCCCGCGTGGCGGCGCGCGTGCTCCGAGAGGAACCGCGAGGGGGCGTACCCCCTCGGCCGGAACTGGTGCTGGGTGGGCATGAAGCGGATGTGCCACTGGAACCTCAAGAGCCACCTCTCGTGGGCGAAGGTGGCGGGCGGCCTCGCGCCCGCAGCCCCCTTATGAGCGCCCCCGCCCGCCAAGAAGGCTGGCCGCTCCGAGGAGGAGGGAGGCTCCTGGCGCTTCTCGCGCCCCCGCCGGCCCATCTGGCAGCGGTGCCCAGGCGGGGTGCGTTCAGCGGGGGAGTGCAGGAGAGCACGCCGCGGGGCAGACCAGGGGCGCGGCAGCCGTCCAACAGAAGATCGGGATCCGCCCGAGCAGGCCTAGGAGTCGACCGTAGATGCCTTCGCGGATCTTTCGATACCGGAGCCTCTTGGCAGCTTACCTGGGCAGTCTTTGTAGGCCTTTGCTGCCAAATCGGGGCCCCCTTGGGGCCATCTTGGAGGACATATAACTCTCTTGGAGACATCTTGGAGCCCTCTAGGGGTCTATCCAGCTGCCTGCGGCACGTCCCGCCACCGTGCCAGCCAATCATTCTGGGTGGCGACAGTTCGAGAGGGCACGGGAGGCCGTCACGTCACGCATGACACCTCGAGTCTCCAGGCTTGGGCGAGCCGTGATTATGAGGACTATGAGGATGGGGATGATGGTAATGATGACGACGAGGATGAGGAGGATGATGCTGAGGAGAAGGAGGAGGATGAGGAGGCGGAGGAGGAGGAAGAAGAGGAACGCCGTCACATTTGTCACCTTTCGTCTTCACTATATGAGGAGCTCGCATGGAAGTCGTTTGGGCCGTCTTGGAGCTGTCTTGGCCTCCTGTGAGGCAGTCTTGGGGGTTCCTTGGGGCCCTTTTGGGCCATCCTCGGGCCTTGTTGCGCCGTCTTGAGACTTTCGTGGGCCGTCTTGCGGCCCTCTTGACCGTATGGTAGGTGCCTGGGGACCGTCGTGTGGCCGTCGTGGGGCCGCCTCGGCGCCGTCTTGGGCCGTCGAAGGACCTACTATGGCCGTCTTGAGTCCCACGGGAGGCCCCCTTAGGCCCTCTTGGGGCCGTCTTGGATGCTTGTGGGCCGTCGTGGGAACCCCTGAGGCGTTCTTGGGACCCTCATTGAGGCCTCTTGGGTCGTCTTGGGGCCATCTTGGAGGTTTCTTGACTTTTTTAGCTGACGAACATCCGAGACGGCGATCATGCAAGCATCCCTTAGTACCCACACAAGGGAGCACACTGCTATTGGCTTCTTTGAGAGAGCGTGATCCACCGCCGCTTTACTATGGAAAATTCACTCCCTTTTCCTCCGGAACCCGGGGTTCCCCCCCCCCCCCCCCCCCTCGGAAAATCCCCCCCCACCGCCCCCTGCTGGAACCCCCCACCCTCCCCTCCCCCGGCAAACCCCGCCCCCCTCCCCTAACCCCTCCCACCCCCCCCTCGAAAACCGGGGGGGGGGTCACTACCGGTTCGAACCCCCCCCCCTCGAAAACCGGAGGGGGGGTCACTACCGGTTCGAACCCCTCCCCCCCCCCACTCACCGCCAGCAAACGACTCCCGTTCCCTACCACCGTCCGCATCACATCCCCCACTGTTGTTCCCAGCACCACTGTCCTCACCACCACTGTCCCCACTGGTTCCACCACCGTCCCTACTGTCCCCACCAGTGCCCCCACCACTGTCGCACTGTTCCCACTGTCCCCACCACTGTTCCCACCACGGTTCCACTCTCCCCACTTTCTCCACGGCCCCGACCACTGCCCGACTATCCCCACTGTCCCCACTGTCCCACTGACTCTTCCGCTGTCCCACTGAGCTGTCCCACTGTTCCCACCGCTATCCCCACTGTCATCACCACTGTCTCCACTGTACCTCTGTCCCATTGTCCCACCGCCGTCCTCGCCACCGCCTTCACCACTGTCCCCACCACCACTGTACCCTCCACTGTCCCACTGTTTCCCCACACCACTGTCCCACCACCACCGTCCCCACCACTGTCCACTGTCCCCACTGTTCCCACCATTGTCCTCACCACTGTCCCCACCACTACCGTCCCCACCACTGTCCCCACTGTCCCCGCCACTGTCCCGCTGTCCCCTCACCACTGTCCCCACCACCACCGTCCCCACCACTGTCCGCACCCCCAATTGGTTTTCGAGGGGGGGGGGGGTCGAACCGGTAGTGACCCCCCCTCGGTTTTCGAGGGGGGGGGGGGGATTCGAACCGGTAGACCCCCCCCCCCCTTTTCATGATGGACTGGGGGGGGGGGGGGTGGAGGGGTTCGAACCGGTGGTGACCCCCCCCGTTTTCCGGAGGGGGGTGGGGGGGGAGGGGTGCGAACCGGTAGTGACCCCCCCTCGGTTTTCCGCCAGCAGCGGTAGAACACGCTCTTTCGCTTCTTTGGACCCTGTTGGGGGTCCTCTTGTGGCAATTTTGGGCTCGCTTGCAGGCACCTTGTGCGGACGTGGCGTCATAGGGGCCATCTTGGGCCGGCTTCGAGGCATCTTGGGCTGTCTTGGTTGCCTTGGTTGTCTTCCTGGGCTCTCTTGGAAGCTCGGGACGCATATTCGAGAGTTGGGCCCCAATTTGTTGTTCCAGTCGAGAGCCATTTAAGTCTGGGGTTGGGGTCGGCGTACCCCCCTACCCCCCATTCGAAGGTTCAGCAGAAGGCATCCGACCTGGGGATCGCCCCGCCGCCGAGCCTGCAGCCGTACAGCCCGTTGCGCAATCCAGAGCTCTGTGATGACCCCTCCAGGGGAGCTACCGTGCAGTTCTCGGAGAGCGACTTCCAGCAGGCGCTCGTCTTCGTCTTCGTCGTCGCTTTCGTCGCCGTCGTCGCCGTCCTCATCTTTCTCATTCTTTCACGCCTCCTTTTCTTCTTCTTTCTCCTCCTCCTCCTCCTCCTCCTCCTCCTCCTCCTCCCCCTCTTCCAACTCCTCTTCCAACTCCTCTTCCTCCTCCTCCGCCTCCTCCTCCTCCTCCTCATCCTCCCCTTCCCCTCCTGGCACGAGCCAGGTATACCGAGCTCTTACAAGGACAGGAGACCCGCCCTCGCCGAGCCTCTCCCGCACCCAGGGGCTCTCGGGAGGCATATGGCACCCCTGTGGTGAGTCCCTCCCGTCTCCTGGTCCCCTCGGCCCTCAGCAGGCGCGGTCCCTGTCTTTCCGCCGTGGTCGGTTCTGTTGGCCCTCGCGTTCGTCTTCGTTTTCGGGCCCCTCGGTTGGCCCCGCCCTTCGCCGCGAGTGTTTGGGAGCATGCGCTGAACCCCAGCCCACGGCCACATAAAAGCCTTCAGCAGGCGCGGGAGTGGTTCAAGGACAACGTGGCGGTGTACGTCGTCAGCCTTCCGACCTCGATCAATCGCTGGGAGCAGATCAGGGCGCGCCTGGAGGAACCGCGTGGGATGCCCCCCCCTCCACCGTACTTGCCCAGGTGTGGCCGTGAAGCCCACATTTGAGTAAAGCTGTTCGCCGAGCCTAGATTACCTCCTCCTCCTCCTCATCTGTGGATTATTGGTCAAGGTTCCACATTCCTCCCCTCCTTCCCTCCCGATCTCCTCCTCCTTCCCCCTCGCGTAATACTTCCTCCTCCTCCTCTTCCCTCCTCCTCCTCACCTGGGGCTGTCTGGAGGACGGAGGAGGAGGAGGAGGAGGAGGAGGAGGAGGAGGAGGAGGAGGAGGAGGAGGAGGAGGAGGAGGGAGAGGAGGTGCGGAGGAGGAGGAAGAGGAGGAGGGAGGAGGAGGAGGAAGAAAAAAAAGGAGGAGGAGGAATACGAAGAAGACTAGTGAGAAAAACACTGATACTAATCACAAAAACAATATGACGGCTAATACTAAGAATAAGAATACTAGTACTAAGAACATTCAGAAGACGAATACTAATAATAGTAGTAGTACTACTAATACTAGAACTACTACTACTACTACTACTACTATTACTAACCAACATACTACTACTACTACTACTACTACTACTACTACTACTACTACTACTACTACTACTACTACTACTACTACTACTACTACTACTACTACTACTACTACTACTACTACTACTACTACTACTGATACTACTACTGCTACTACTACTACTACTACTACTACTACTACTACTGCTGACTGCTGCTGCTGCTACTACTACCACCACACCACCACCACCACCACCACCACTACTACTACTACTACTACTACTACTACTACTACTACTACTACTACTACTACTACTACTACTACTACTACTACTACTACTACTACTACTACTACTACTACTACTACTACTACTACTACTACTACTACTACTACTACTACTACTACTACTACTACTACTACTACTACTACTACTACTACTACTACTACTACTACTACGTCTAATACTATGGATAAACATACTATTCAGACTACGCATAATAATTCTAATGCTAAGAATAAGAAGAGGAGGATGAGGTGGAGGAGGATGAGGACGACGAAGAGGAGGCGGAGGAGGAGGAGGTGGAGGAGGAGGAGGACGACGAAAAGGAGGCGGAGGCGGAGGAGGAGGAGGACGAGGAGGAGGCAGAGGAGAAGGAGGAGGAGGAGAATGAGGAGGAGGAGGCTTCAACAAACATCCTCAGGGAGGCGGCTCTCTTTGGTGGTCGCTGTGGCAGCTGGAGCCTGGGACTCACCTCTCGCCGTCTGCCGCTGCTGGTCGGCCCGCCTTCGACCCCCCTTACGGCCAGTGCCACTCCTCTTTCCCTCTCTGCTTCTTTTCTCCTTCTCCCTTTCTTCTTCTTCTCCTCGTCCTCCTCCTCGCTTAACTTCCTAGCACTCCTGGTCACCCTCCTCCTTTTCCTCCTCCTCCTCCTCCTCCTCCTCCTCCTCCTCCTTGGAGGAGCTCCAGATCTGGGCCACTCGTGTCCCGGGGGTGGACATGCGCGTGCCGAGTGCCATCCTTGACGCGAAGAGGGACGGCTTTGTGCCCAGGTCCTACAACTTCACTCGCGCGCAGGAGGGGAGAGGGGGAGCGGTGGGAGGGGAGGCTCGGAAGGAGGGAGAGGAGGTGCGGAGGAGGACGACGGGAGGGGGGAGGGAGAGCGAGATGGGGGAGGTTGCGGACGGATGGCAAGGACGAGGAGGAGGGCTGCGGGCCCCGCGCCCTACAACGAGGCGTATGCAACAGTGGGGGTGGGGGAGTTCGTGCACGGCGCCGCGGTAGTGGCTCTCAGAAAGAGGTCAGTTCAAGCCGCCTCTCGAACGGCGGCCTCCGTCGCTCCGCGCTCCACAGGGCCGCGCCGGGTGCGGGGATGTCGGCCATCAAGGAGCAGCTGGAGGCTTTGTCGCGAAGCCGGGTGATTGTTGGCTGAGAACTGCGGAGGGTGGCTTCTCTCCAGCCGCACTTTGCAGTGCTACGCGACTTTTCATCGAAGCCCGATGCGCCGTCGTAAGCAGGGGAGCATCATGACATGCCACGGGGGGGCCGGTTGTCCAGGCTAACCCAACATGAGGCTCCAAGGTGGGAGGCGGGTTGAGGAGCGCGGGTCTGACATAAGGCAGGGGTGCCAGGTGGGATTGTCAGTTTGAAGGTGATTCGTCTTAACGGGGCTCCGTCTCCACATGAGAGAGCGTGCCGCGACGCCGCTCAAGACTGTCACAGCTTCTTGCGAAGCTTTGTCCGCACCAACTGGAGCTGCTGTACGCTCCTTCCGATTCGGGCCGCGAGGGGAAGGAGCGTGTCCGGATGGGACTTGTAGTAATCGGGCTGGCTCTTAGTGGAGTGGGCACGGCCTTCCATCTCGGCGCCTTCGCCGGCCTTGAGGCGTGGCGCTGTCTGCCAGCGGGGGGCTGTCACTGAAGGCGGACGAGTTCCTCAAAGCACGCAAGGTCCTGAATGTAGCGGAGACCTTCGAGAAAGCCACACTGGAAAGGCAGGGCCCCGTTGGTAGCGCCAGGGGGCGGCCTTTGCTTTGGCCCTAGCTCTCCATCTTGCACCCGTGGGGGGTCTGGCAGACGTGGAGCGTCGAGCGTATGGATGACGCCCCATCCTCCTCCGACTCACGGCTACTTACACATCGGTCGTTCAAAGTAGGTATTTTTGGATTCCCTGTCTCCAATACATTTCAGGCGCTTTCTTCAAGCGTCGACATGCTTCCCCTTTTCCCTCCTCTTCAGGGGGCGGGCGGAAGCCCAATCTTCTTTCAGCGCCTTCCTACTTCCTACTGCATGTTTCTACTGACTTCTTCCGAACGGTGGGCAGAGAAAAAGTGACGACACTTTTAGAGGTGGTCTTCGGGGTGCATTGCTGGAGTAGGTTAAGAGCTGACGCACCGCGGGCGGGCGATGACGCCTTCACTACCGCGAGCCACTGTGGTGCAGCAGCTCGGCCAGGGTAGCCTGTGCAAGGCCTGGGTCGTCCAGACCACCCTGAGAACTGGGAATGCGGGATCCCGCAAACGGCGACAGCCCAAATGGCCAAAGACAACACTGCCGCCAGATGAGTAGGAGGAGCAGCAGGTGGAGGACGACGAGGGAGATGCCGAGGACGAGAAGGATGAGGATTGGGAGGATGAGGGGAGGGAGGGGGAGGAGAGGGGGGGAGGGGAGGAGACTCAGGAGTTGATTGCGGCTTCCCCCCCCCCCTGCTTTCCGCCCCCCGTCGTCCGCTTCGTCCGCCTCCTCCTCCTCCCTGCTTCTTCCCCGGGTTCCTCCACCTCTGCCTCCCCCCTTTTTCCCCTTTGTTTCTGCCCGCGGAGGACGCGGGATACGCCTGGAAGCACGACATGGGCAGCATGATCGGTACTTGGAGGGGCTCGATGTATTTACCAGCCCGTCGGACCAGGACTTTGGTGTATAGACGCCCAAGCATTCCAAGATCTGGGAAGCTAGAGCGTCTGTGCACCGAGTTCCCCTGCCGAGCAAACGACGCGGTGCATACGTCGATTCTCTCCGAGGCACCCTGGGCTGCGCCGCGGCGCACTTCAAGGTGCAGCAGGTGGCCATCGCCGACGGCAGCCCCATGGCCGTCGTGTTGGAGGCCTCCCTGGCCTCCTCGCCGGTCGTCGGTCTTCTTCCTCTCCTCGCTTGGGCACCACCCAGACCACACTAATGCTATGTGTGCGCCCCCCCCCCCCCCAAACGGGCCGACGCACGCGCCGAGAAATCTTTTAGTGTAAGCTCCGTGGCGGGCGCTTTCTGGCCATACCGGTCGGGAGACGATATACCACTGTATTATATATGGCATGGAGGGCGCTGTCCTCCAAGGAGGACTCATCGTACCAGTATGTCCTTCTGCGTCCCATTACTCCAAAGCTCCTCTTCCCGAGTTTCTCATCCCTTCTCTCTACTCTCCCTTCCTCCCTCACTCATCCCTGCTCCCTCCTCGCGCCTCCGTTTCCTCCCTCCGCCTCCTCCCTCCTCCCGCATCACCTCACATTTCCTCCTTTTTCTCCTCCCATTTCCCCTTCCCTTCCCCTCCTCTCTCCCACCATGTTTCCTCCCTCCTCCCCTCTTCTTGCCGTCTTGTCCTGTCCTCCACTCCTCCCTTGTCCCTCCCTTCCTCTCCTGTGCCCTCCTCCTCTCTCTGCTCTGTCCCCCGTCTTCTGTGCTCTCTCCTTCCTCCCCTCGTGCCGTGCGGCCAGGCTCCCTCCCCTCTGGCGTACGGCTTGTCATACAGGGCCTCAAAGCTTGTCGGGTTTTCAGTTCGAGCCCCTCGGTCCTGGAAGATGGTGCTGGCGCTGCAGCGCTGGCCACATGCAGGACTGGTGCGTTGCTCCAGTGGTTCGGAGTGGCGTTCTCGCCCCCGCGCGGGCTGCACCTCGACTCGGGCTCGGATTCCTTCCTCTCGTCGCTGCCGCCCCCCCCTGCTTCCCTGTTGCCCTCCTCTCCCCGCTCCTCTGCAGACTCCCCCCTCTCCCTCCTCTCTGGTCCTCCTCTTCCCCTCTCCTTCTACTTGTCTTCTGCTTCGGGACTGCACGGGGAGGAGGATCATGTGGGGAGGGGATGGGGTAACGTGGGGCGGGATCGTGTGGGATGACGTGGGGCGGGGAGCACATGGGGAGGGGATGGGGCAAACGAGAGCATTTGCCCCCCACATCCAAAGTGGGGTTCTTTTCTTTGGACACCCCGCGCAGGAACAGGACGGACGGAACACCCCCTCTCTTCTCACTCACACTCACACACTCACATTCACACACTCACATCATCATCACAGCATCAACATCACTTGCACACTCACACACACTCGACCACTGTCATTCACTCACTCACACTCACTCATTTTTCCTGAGTGGCTCACTCACTCACTCACAACTACTATCCATCACTCATCATCATCATCATCATCATCATCATCATCATCATCATCATCATCATCAGCATCATCATCATCATCAGCATCATCAGCATCATCATCACAACACCACCGTCACTATCGTCATTATTGCACACTCACTCGCACACCCACACACTCAGCTTGAGGAGGTCTCAGGCGGGAGCCTTGTCTGTGAGTGAACACCATCACTATCATCCATCGCCATCGTCACCATAATCACCCATCACCCGCCACCATCGGCACCATCACCATCGTCACCATCACCCATCACCATCCATCGTCATTATCATCTGAGGAAGTCTCAGGCGGGAGCCTCGTTTGTAAATGAATTGCGAGGGAGTGTCAGGCGGGAGCCCCCTCCCTGTGGGGCCCGCAGCTCATGTTTTCCATCCGAGCGGGTCATCGGAAACTCTGTAACTGTCGTCACCTTTGGCCCCGAGAGGCCTGAATATGGAGGAAGTATCAGGCGTGAGCTCAGTCTGTGAGTTAATTGCGAGGAAGTCTCAGGCGGGAGCCTCCTCCCTGTGGGGCCCGCAGCTTATGTTTTCCATCCGAGCGGGTCATCGGGAAACATGTAACTGTCGTCACTTGTGGGCTCCTGAGGCCTGAATATGGAGGAGAAGTATCAGGCGGGAGCCTCGTCTGTGAGTGAATTGCGAGGAAGTCTTTATGGAGCTCGCAGCCCATGTTTTCCATCCGAGCGGGTCATCGGAAAACCTGCAATTGTCTTCACTTTTGGGCTCCTGAGGCCTGAATATGGAGGAACTATCAGGCGATAGCCTCGTCTGTGAGTGAATTTCGAGGAAGTCTCAGGTGGGTGCCCCCTCCCTATGGGGCCCGCAGTTCATGCGAGAGCTCGCCGGCGGATGATGAGAAGGTAAACGGTGACGACGAGGACGACGAAGACGACCAGGTGCCCGAGGAGCAAGACGACGACGACCAGGTGCCGGACGACGAGGGCGTGAGGGAACGCTGCATGCTGATACGCCGCCATCCCTTTCTAGGGAGTGCTGGGCCGTGCACTCGCAGTCCCCTCTCTCAGGCGCTTCTCACACGAAAATTTTCGAATGCACTCGGGATCTCATTCCTCGGTCTCCTGGTGTGGAAACAAGAAGGTGCGAGAACCGTGCGTTGCATCTGCATGAACCTTGAGGGTCACGTCCGGAGCACGTAACGACTGGGCGCCTGGTGGTTTTCCCTTCACGCCTGCCGCGCCGGTCGCCGTGCCGTCCTGCCCGAACGAGGGCGCTTCCAACGTTAAGTCGGGCGTGTCTCCCTACAGGGGGATATTCGACGAAAAGTATGAAGTAGTCAAAAAACGATCAAAAAGCCGTCCCAATATTATATGTTGACTATTTTTGCATATTCCCCCTGTAGAGGGATAGGCCCGACTTGATTCTAACGCCACTGGGGGCGGATGCCAGCAGTTTTTGTATAGTGGTTGTTGCTGTTTTGAGGTGAGCCCCCGGCCTCGTTCGCTGCAGCCAGCGGCCTGCGGGGCAGCGCCTGGTCTCGCGCGCCAGCGGCTCGTGGGGTAGCCCCGACGGCCTGGCCCGCGGGATTGTCCCAACGGCTGCGGCGCAGTGTGGCGATTAGAGGTTGCGCCCGTGCTGGCGGAGGCAGCGACGGCGCCGAGGAAAATCGGCATGCGCGCTCATGCAACAGGAAGGGGGGGAGGTGGCGGGGCGTGGAAAAAACAGGAGGGCAAGGAGGGGACAACGTAGGGAGCGGGAGGAGAGCCTGCGCCAAGGCGAGGAGGATAATGACGCAGAGGATACCGCAAGGATGCCTCAGCAATCAGGAGGACGACGGTGAGGGCTATTTCCAACTTGGCCGAGAGGATTCTTATGTGGGGTCCTACCGTCGGAGTATTTTTTTGTTTTTTTTACTCGCACGGCACTGTTTGATTGCGCGCGCTTCTGCCCCGCCCAGGCTTCCCTGGACCTCCCCGCGCGCTGCATGCCTCCACTGCCCAGCCCGGCCAGCCCTCGCTAGACGCGTGCCGTAGGCGGCCGGCCGAGAGCACTGCGCATGCCGCACAGAGGTCAACGGCCAATCCGACGACCCCACTCGGCGAATATGAGCTCTGAGGAGGAGCGGGTACCCATACCGCTACCCTTCCCTTTCGTTTCCCCTCATTTGGGCCTCCTGGGAGGCCCTCGTCGCCACCGCTGGGTTCGCCTCGAAATCCTTGTCACGACTCGCCCCGGGAGAGGTCCGGGGATCAGCGGTGCTGGTACCTCCTGGGCTCCGCTGGACAGGAGCGGGCTGGATGGGGTAGGATGCCAAGGTTGGCGGGAGCGCACCCAGCCTGCTCCTCCTCCTCCTCCTCCTCCTCCTCCTCCTCCTCTTCCTCCTCCTCCTCGTCCTCCTTCCTCCTCCCTGCTCCTCCTCCTCCTCCTCCTCCTCCTCCTCTTCCTCCTCCTCCTCCTCCCTCTCTCCTCCTCCTCCTCCCTCTCTCCTCCTCCTCCTCCTCCTCCTCCTCCTCCGCCTCGTCCTCCTCCTTTTCCTCTGCGCCTGCCTCTCTCTCTCTCTGTCTCTTCGTCTCTTTCTCTCTCTCCGTCTGCGTCTCTGTTTGTTTCTGTCGCTGCCAGGGGCTGCCCTGTAGTCTGGCCGCCCCCGCGCGCTCCCCGCGGCCCCGCCGCGTGAGCGTGCCCCCCGCGCCCCTTTTCCTCTCTCCACGGCCGCCCTCTCGTCTCTTTTCTTCCGCTCTTTGCATGCGGGCTCATTCGCGACTCCGCGGCCCGGTGTTGCTTGCTGCGCGCGCGAGCGGATTGCCTCTGCCGCGCCGCGACGGAAAAATATATGTCTCTGTCTTTGTCTCTGTCTCTGGTCTTCTCTCTCGCTCTTTTTTATGTCTCTCTCTCTGTCTCTTTGTCCGTACACACAAACAGTCAATCTGAGTACTACCCTCGCTTCCTAGACTTTTTGTGCGAGGAACTGGACACACGATGCTGTATATGTTGCTTTTCTCTCAGGGCGTCCTCGGTCTTTCAAAGTGTTGCTCCTGCTGCTGCGCTGGCCACAGTTCAGGACCGGCGTTTTGCCCCCCGTAGTATGGCGCTCACGCCCCAGCGCGGGCTACTTTTCTGGATCCGAGTCCTTCCTCGTCGTCGACGTCCCCTCCTTCCACCTCCTCCGCCTTCCCCCAGTCCTCCCGCTCCTCCCGTTCCTCATTCTCCTGCTTCTCCTGCTGCTGCTGTTGTTCCTCCTCCTCATCCTTCCTCCTTTTCCTCCTCTTCATCCTGCTCGTCACCTCGTCCTCCTGCTTATCCACTACGTCCTCCTCCTCCTCCTTTTCATCTTCATCTTTCTCCTTCTCCTCCTCCTTCTCCTCCTCCTCCTCCTCCACCATTACCTCCTGCAGAGTGCTCGGCTTCCTTTTGTTGCCTGCACATATAACACGATGCGGCGTATAGGGGGTTCGAGGTCCGCTGTGACACCCGTCGGCGGGTAGAGCAAAGCCGGCGAAATGGGAGGTCGCAGTTTGCGCGAGTGTACCTGGCTTGCCCTCTACTCATCGGATGCAGTTTTGGAGCCTCTCGGGGGCCGTTTTAGGGCCGCTCGGGGGCTGTTGACTCTTTTGGGGCCTCGTGGGGCCTCTCGGGGGCCTCTCGGGGGCCTCTTGGAGCCTCCTGGGCGCTTCTGGGGGCCTCCTGGGGGCTTCTTGGGGCGGAAGGCTCGGATTTTCGGTTCGTGTTTTTTTGGGGGGCCCCTCTTGTGGCCGTCTTGGGGCCCTCTTGGGCCGTCTTGGGCGCCTCTTGGGCCGTCTTGGGGCCCTCTTGGGCCGTTTGGGAGCCCTTTTGAAGGCCTCTTCGGCTGCCTTGGGGCGGTCTTGGGGGCCTCTTGGGCCGTCTTGGAGCGTCGGGAAGCCGAAAAGGCGAGAAAGACATTTTTTTAATACCCAAGGCAATCAATGATTGTGCCTCTCGGGGCTCTCTTGGGCGGCTTCTTGGAGGCTCTTGGGGCGTCTTGGAGGCCTCTTAGACCGTCTTGAGGGCGATCTTGGAGCGATCGTTCGGCGACTCGGGGCCATCTTGGACCGTCTTGAGGGCCTCTTGGGGTGCTCTTGGCCCGTCTGGAGGTCCTCTTGGGCCCGAAACAGTCATGCGACGCGATGCCGGGAACTCTAGCGGGCACGCGCCAAGCCCTAAGAGATTTTGGGATTTCGGGTCTGGGCTCCTAGAACACTTCCCAGACCTGAGGGCTGAGGCTCTGGGGATTGGGCAATGGACCCGAGGACGCGCCCACTCCTTGCCCAGCGGCACGGCGGCGGATCCTCTCCCCGTTTCGCTCTCACCTCTTTCCTCTCCTCTCCTCTCCTCTCCTCTCCTCACTCCTCCTTTCGTTCCCTCATCGCGTCTCTCCGCTCTGCTCCCTTGTTGTCATGCTCGAGGACGATTCCTGGCCGAGCGACGACTTCATCCCCCGCCTGTGGAAGCTCGTGCGCGAGGAGCTGCCCCTGCCTAGTGATGGTGATGGGGAGGTGGTGGACGTAGTAGTAGTCGTCGTCGTCCTCGTCGTCGTCCTCGTCGTCGTCGTCGTCGTCGTCGTCGTAGTAGTAGTAGTAGTAGTAGTAGTAGTAGTAGTAGTAGTAGTAGTAGTAGTAGTAGTAGTAGTAGTAGTAGTAGTAGTAGTAGTAGTAGTAGTAGTAGTAGTAGTAGTAGTAGTAGTAGTAGTAGTAGTAGTAGTATTAGTAGTAGTAGTAGTAGTAGTAGTAGTAGTAATAATAGTAGTAGTCGTAGAAGTAGCAGTTGTAGTCGTAGTAGTAGTAGTAGTAGTAGTAGTAGTAATAGTAGTAGTAGTAGTAGTAGTTACAATATTGGTATTCGCAGTCGCAGTCGTAGTCGTAGTAGTGGTATCCGTAGTTGTCGTAGTATTTCTCGTACGAGTAGAAGTTTAGTGCTAGTAGGAGTGGTAGTAGTAGTAGTAGTAGTAGTAGTAGTAGTAGTAGTAGTAGTAGTAGTAGTAGTGGTAGTAGGAGCAGGAGCAGCAGCAGCAGCAGCAGCAGAAACAGCAGCAGTAGTAGTAGTAGTAGTAGTAGTAGTAGTAGTAGTGGTGGTGGTGGTGGTGGTGGTGGTGGTGGTGGTGGTAGTATCGGCAGAGCCCTAAACCATAAATCTCGAATCTTATTATTATTAAGCCCTGAACATCCTGGCCCCATGCGTCCTGATTTTCCATCCGATATCCTGCGCCCATAATCCATGCCAAAATATATCATTTTCTGGCAACCCTGGATGTAAACCGGCGCCATCCCTTGCAATAAATTGTATTTTCTGTTCATGCGTGCTGTAAACCGGCGCCATCCCTTGTACAACATTTGTTTATTTCCTGATCATGTGTGCTGTAAACCTTCGCCATCCCTTGCAACAGATATTACTTCCTGATCACGCGTGCTGTAAACCCTCGCCATCCCTGGCAAAAAAATATTATTTCCTGACGTTCATACACCTGTGAGACTTTCCTTAACAAGGAAGTACTTTCTAGGTCCCCGAAAGTTCTTTATGGTCGGGGTGGGACTGGCAGCCACCGCAGGTGGGCTCCTAGGCAGGAGGTGATCAGATGCGGCAGAGCTTGTAGACCCTAACCCTTAGCCCAAACCCTAAACCCTCAAGACGAAAAACACTCCGTATTGGGCAAGCCCGAACGACGGCAAGCATGACGCCATCGCGACGCCCCCCAAGCTCTCCGACGCCTCTCCAGGAGTTCGAAGCGCTGCAAAGCGCTCCCAGGCGCTGCCGGGCAAGCCGGTCCGCGGTCGGGGGCCCTGTCTTTGGCTCGACCGGTCCGCGGGCGGTCGGGGGCCTGATGTTGCCGAAAGCGATGAAGCAACTTGTTCGTGCGTATAAGTACGGAGTGCTGCGGAGCGTCACACTGGCGGAAAGGGCAGCGGTCAAGAAGGCGGCGAAGGATGAGAGGGAGAAGCAGGAGAAGAAGAAGAAGAAGAAGAAGGAGGCGGAGAGGAATAATAATACCAAGAAGCAGTGAGCCGGCGCGCGCGCGCGGGCGGGCCGGCTCAAGCCGACAGAGCAGCAGCGCCCCCCCCCAGAGCGCGCGCCCCCGCCCTCCTCCACCACCGCCGGGCCGCTCGGCCGAGATGGAGTGGACGCAGTTCCCCGGCTGGGCGTCGAGCGCAACGGCAGAAGGCATTCGAGAAGCGCTGGCAACAAAAGCGGCTGCGCCCACCTACAGGGAGTGGTGCAGCCAGCGCGGACCGACGGCGAAGAAGGCGAAGTCGACCGCGTTCCCTCTTGTGCGGGAGGACGAGCCGAGAGTGCTCAAGAAGTTCGACCAGAAGACGCGCGCCGAGCAGGCGGCAGCCCGAATCAGGGCAACAGCTGGTGGTGAGCAGAGAGCCGAGCAGGCGGGGGGAGAATCCAACCGGAGAACCGGGAACTCGGCAGTGCGGCGCGCTGCTGCGCATGCCAGGAGTCCGCTGCAGATGGAGAAGGCGTTCGCGAGCTTGGGCCAGCTGAAGAGCTTGGAGGAGAGAACGGAGTGCATGCAGAAGGCCGCAGAGCACTGAGCGAGCGAGGCAAACGAGGGCGGCGGCGCGCGGGTAAGCCACGCGAGCGCGGCCGACGCCCGCCCGACAGCGGCGGGGCGGAAAAAGAAGGGGGCGACGACGAAGGAACCCGGCGGCCGGCGGCGGCGACGACGACGACTCTCCCTCCCCAAATCTCTACCCTCAGCACCGACCCAGCCGCCCTGCCGCCTGGTCCCCTAGGACAACGGTCTCGCCCTGCCGCCTTACTCTCAGTGCCCGCCCGCTTTTTGGGTTGGGCCCCAGGCCGGCCGGCTCCCCGGCCCCGTAGGCCAGTGGTCAGCATTCCAGCTTTGAATATGAAGATCCCGGGCTCGATTCCCAGGGCCGGCGCCCGGGTGTCGGCCCGGGCCCCAGGCCGGCCGGCTCCCCGGCCCCGTAGGACAGTGGATAGGATTCTGGTTTAGAATCTGAAGACCCAGGGTTCGATTCCCGAGGCCGGCGCCCGGGTGTCGGCCCGGGCCCCAGGCCGGCCGGCTCCCCGGCCCCGTAGGCCAGTAGTTAGCGTTCCGGCGTAGAATCTGAAGGTCCAGGGCTCGACTCCCGAGGCCGGCGCCCGGGTGTCGGCGCCCGGGTGTCGGCCCGGGCCCCAGTTGGCATTCTGGGTTAGAATTTGAAAGCCCAGGGCTAGATTCCCGAGGCCGGCGCCCGGGTGTCGGCCTGAGCCCCAGGCCGGCCGACTCCCGGGCCCCGTAGGCCAGTGGTTAGCATTCCGGTTAAGAATCTAAAGGTCCCAGGCTCGACTCCCAGGGCCGGCGCCCGGGTGTCGGCCCGGGCTCCAGGCTGGCCGGCTCCGCGGCCCCATGGGCCAGTGATTGCATTCCGGCGTAGAATCTGAAGGTCCCAGGCTCGATTCCCGAGGCCGGCGCCTGGGTGTCGGCCCGGGCCCCAGGCCGGCGCATCATTCGAAGCGCGCGCAGCGCGCTTCTCTGAGTTTCGCGCACGCGTCGCGACGTCGCTGGAAGCGCGCGGAACGCGCTTCGCAGCTGGCGAGAATGCCGCAGTCGCTGCGTCTCGCGCGCGCGTCGCGACGTCGCCGCAAGCACGCGCAGCGCGCTTCGCAGCTGGCGAGAACGCCGCAGACCAATTGAGGCCGCGGCACACACCGCAAACGCTAATACGTAGTGTAAACCCTACACCCTGGACCCTAGACCTTAACCCTACACCGTAAATTCCAACCCCCAAACCCTAAACCTTAAACTTATTCGTTGGTCTCACATATTAGTTTGAATCGTTAACCAAAACATGGCCCTCGATGTCCGCCCTGGGGGGGCTACTACCTAAACCCCCATTCCGTGTGTGCCCGCGTGCGGATTTTGCCTTCCCGCGTGGCGACTAATTCCTAAACCCACTATCACATGCGTGCCCGCTCGAGGATCGCGCCCCCGTGCCCTGGGGGGCTAATTCTAAACCCCTCATCCCATGCATGCCTGCGCGCGGATTTTGCCCTTCCCGCATGGCGGCTAATTCTTAGACCTCCTCTATACCATAAGTGCCCGCTCGAGGATCGCGCCCCTCTGCCCTGGGGGGCTAATTCCATATTCCAGGCGTGCCCGCGCGCGGAGTTTGCCCCTCCCGCATGGGAGCTAATTCCAAATCCCCCTGCCACATGCGTGCCCGCTCGAGGATCGCGCCCCTCCCGCTCAAGGCTGGCACCCCTCCGCCCTGGGGCTGATTTCAAGCCCGCTCATTCCATGCGCGCCCGCGCGAGGGTCGCCCCTGCCGTTCGAGGATCGTGCCCCGTCCCCCGCCCCACGCGCGCCCGCTCGAGGATCGCCCCCCCCCCCCCCCCCCCCTCCCCCCCTCCCCCGCCCGCCCCCCCTCCCCGCTCGGGAATGCCCTCCTTCCAGACACTCCGAAACGATGTCGCGCGCTCCTCCCGAGGGCCGCCGCGCGCTCTTGTGCTGTTCCTCCTGCCCGCTGTTTTTCCTGCGTGCTCCGCGCTGCTCCGTCCTGCTCCTCGCTGATCCACGCGGGCTTCCCCGGTGGCTTGCGTGCGCCAGAGTGTGTGTCTTGATATGTGGTGGGTGTCTCGGGTGGGTGGATTTTGAGCACCGCGCCAGTGTCTGACGCGTCCAGTATGTTGACAACTTCGCGCTCTTGTTGGAATTAAGAGCGCATAAAGATTTGAATCCCAAAACCACCGCCGTGCTCCATATGCGCCCCGTTATGCCGCCCCCCAGTTCGGCGCACCCCTCGCGCACATCCTTGCCTTTGGAGTGCCAGGAATGGTGCTCCGAGAGCTTTTGCAGAACGCAGGGCGCACCCCTCGCGCTGACCCCAGACCGACTGCCCGCGCGCGTCGCCGAGGCCATTCGTGGCGGCGCGTCCAGGGTCACGCTCCGCGCGGCTGATCACGCGCGCATTGTCGAAGCCGTGCAGGGCGGCGCCTGCCATGGCGATCTGAGAAGGGACTTCGGGTTGATCGCTTGCCGGGCGAACGCGTTGCGTTGCCAGTGCAGCGACGAGGGGGCTGCGCCGCTGGCGCCCGCGCGGGCCGCGCGCCGGTCGCGTTGCGCGACTGTCGTCGTCGTCGTCGTCGTCGTCGTCGTCGTCGTCGTCGTCGTCGTCGTCGTTTTGAGATCAATATCGTCGTCTTCGTCATCGGTATCATCGTCGACGTCTTGAGATCTATATGTCTTGGGTCATGGGTGGGTGGGGCGCGTCCAACAGGCTTCAAGCTTGGACTAGTGGGCCCTAAACCCTAAACCTCAAGCCGGAAACGCTCGCTATGGACGGGCGAGGAGCCAGCGCCCGCGACGGCCGCGCGAGCGCGCGGGCGCGCTCGCAAACAAAATATCCCGGCAAAGCAACCTAACAGCGATGTGTAGAAGCATATCTGAAAACATTCCCTTTAAGATTCAGATGAAAATCCAGTTGTAGAATTCTGATGTTCTCGCAGTCCTAGT